TTTGCTTGAGGCTTGGTTCGAACTCCATGATGGTACCAGCGATGGTCGTGATGGCGGCCTGCTGCTATTGGACCGCCTTCTCCGCTTCCGTAACGACATGCTTTGCTTCGGCCACGTCGTTGACCTTTTTTCCTCGAGCAGTGCTTCGACTCGAAGCCTTCGAGCCCAGCTCGAAGCCTTCGAGCTGGGCCTTCTTGGCCTTGGCGTTGTTGAGCAGCTTCGCTGCGAGAGATGTGACATGTGGCCTCCGCCTCCGGCCCTCTGATGGCCACCCGCTGCTGCTTGAGCTTGCCGAGGTGTTGCTCGAGCTGGCCAGTGTCGACTCCACTCTTACGCAGGGTGGGGACGGTCTGCTCCAGGCTGGCGATCCTGCCCTCGATCTCTGTGATGTTGGGGTCTGTTGTTGCTGCGTCATCAGCTGCCGATGCACCGCCTGTCTCTTTGTTGGCAGTCTCCCTGGCCGGCCACGTGGAAATAGCTGGTCCAATTCTGCCGTCATGACCCACCGAGAGCCTCGCCAGAGCCATGGGAAGATTCGTCATCTAGACTTCAAGCCGCTGCAGACGTGGTCCATGAGAACGTTCTCCTGCTTGGCTCGAAGGTGGGGGATGGGAACGAGACTTGGGTCGGGTTGTTGGAGGTCCTCGCTTCACCAGGGTCTCTTGGTGCGCCACTTTCGCCTTCCGTACCACTGGTTCTTCGCCCACAGCCTTCTCTTGCTGACATCTTGGGCATCTCCAGTGGGGCTTCTTGGGTCCCAGCAGCAGCTTTCGACAGGGCTCAGGACCTGCAGCACCGTCACCCACCAGGATCCCTTCGCGCCATCCCAGCCTGCGCCCGTTGGGCGTTGTCGTGCTCGTCGTGGTGGCCCGCCAGGGCCGCACAAACTCCCGCCACGCGGAGGAGTACGCGGGCGCTGGCCCGCTGTCTCCGCGGTCGGCGGTGCCACGCGGGCGAGGGGGGGGGCTTTGGCGGCGCTCCTGCGCCGGTGAGAGAAAGAGCACCGCCGCCCCGGGCAGGCTTGGCGTCGTCGGGGTTCTCGTGATACTGGGCCGCCCCAACAGCCTGAGCGCGAAACGCCTGGCAGGGGGAGGAGGAGGAGGAGGAGGAGGAGGAGGAGGAGGAGGTGGAGGGCAGGGGAAGGACGGCCCTTGGAGGATCAGGCCCTTCGGGTGCCGAGCCTCCTGCGTGGCCCTGGCGGGAGTGTTGCCCAAACGGGCAGCTCTGCGTTTCCCCCCCCTGAACCGACGCATGCTATTACGACGGGCCTGCCTGAGGATCCTCCATGTCTTGGTACGGCTCTCTCGAGTGGAGCTCGTGTCTTTACAGGGCAAGTCGCTCCAAAGCGTTCCGGGGCGCCGAACCCGCCAGTTTTAGAGATCCCGATCGATTTGGATTCGAATTTGTTTTCATGAGGACATGACATCAGCAAGCAGTGAGTCGAAGTGATCATGCTTCTCATCACTCTTCAGAGCTGCATCTGTAAACCGAGGCAGGTACGATTTACAGATCGTCTTGCCTTCCAAATTTCGTCGAGCCTTACCTATACCACCACCTTTAGGGTGATGAGGAGGTTCGGGGAAATGAGAGCCCACTGACAACAACTGCGATGGGATGGCGCCATGGTTCTCACGAATTTCATGATCGATCGTACCATCGATCTCACTATCGCTCTCAACGTCGATCGCACTATCGATCTCACTATTGATCTCACGATCGATCTCAATATCGATATCGAGAGATCTCACTATCGGCCTCACAACAGATCGCACGAGACACCATCAGGACACCACGGATGGGCACCCCCCAGCACGAGATCTCAGATGGAGCACCCCCAGCCACGGCGGGGCACCCCCAGCCAAACATCTGTGGTGATCGATCTCATCATCGATCTCCCGATCGATCTCACCATCGATCTCGAAATCTCACGATCGATCTCACGATCGCGCACTCGATCTCAGTCTCGCTTTCCTTGTCGATCTCACAGCTGATCTCACGAGCTAACACCGAGACACCACGGCGGGACACCCTGCGCCATCGTCGGGACACCCCGCGCCACCGACGGGGCATCCCGCGCTACCGACGGCGCACCCCCGCGCCATCGACGGGACACCCCCGGCCACTGCGCGCGGACAACCGACTCCACAGCCCCTAGCCACGGCGGCATCATTCCTCTCGCGCGCCCGTGCAGCTTTGCCTCGCCCGCACGCACGACACGAAACCGAAACCGATGTCCTGGTGGGGCGCTCCCCGTTCCACTGCGAGCTCACACCCAACCTTCGATCTGTTAATATTGTGGTGCTTTGGGTTGTGCGAAGAAAAGAGGCGAGGGAAGGGGCGCCCGAACTTCGAAACTATACGGCAAGCATCGTGACAGGGCCGACATCGGCCGCGCGCGGAACCGCTCCTTTACCTCGGGCCTTGGCCGAGGCCTGGTGGCCGGTCCGCACCCAGGACGTCGAGAGGCTGTTGAGGGAGGAGCTGCAGGACTTCCGGAACGTGCACATAGACCTGGAGCCGTGGTGACCGCTGCTGTGCGGCAGGTCCGTCGTGACGACTCGATGGCGACCCTGGCGCGGGCATGGTTGAGCGCTGCCAGTGGCTCGGAATCGGTCAATATGGAGCGATCTGGCGGTTGAAAAGCCACCGATCAGTTCAGGCTGAAAGATCCACGCGGGGTCAGAAACCAATGCGGGGGTCGTCACGACACAAGCCCGCCGTGGGCAATGTCGCGGCGCTGGCCGAGGGTGGCAGAAAAAGGCCTCGCCCTCCGCGAACCACGTCCTCTCCGTTCCCTCTCCGTCCTCGTGCCCCGCAGCAGGAGGACATATCCGTCGAGGGGAGGGGATCGGGAGGAGGGGGAGGGGGGGAGGAGGGAGGGGGGGGAGGTGGGGCGGAGGGGAGGGGGGGGGGGAGGAGGGGTGGAAGGGGAGGGAGGAGAGGGAGGGCAGGGAGGGGAGGGAGGAGGGCTTTGATGCAGCGCAGGCATGGGCGCCGGGCGTGCTCGAGGGAGGAGGGGAGAGGGGAGTGGAGGAAGGGGAGGGGAGGGAGGGGAGGGAGGGTGGGAGGGGAGAGCAGAAGGGGAGGACGCAAGCTAGGCGCGCTCGCGCCATAGTTATCTGACATCCTACCGGTCCCACCAATCCCTTCCCATTGCGCTGATTCCCTACCTAGGCTCTGCCTAGAGGGTTCTTACTCTATTAGCTTAAAGGGGCCGGGCAGTGTTCCTCGCCCCGTGCGGTTCCCCCGGTCCCCGCCCCGCGGTTCCCCCAGTTGCGCCCCTTTACCTTAGTTTTGAGTATCTCATCTTAGCTCAGTTTAGCTTAGCATAGCTTAGTCTCATCTTAGCTTCGCGTAGCTGTAGCTTAGCTTAGCTTAGCTTAGCATATCATATAATCGCCCACCATAGCATAGCATAGCGCAGCATAGCATAGCATAGCATAGCACAGCATAGCACAGCATAGCATAACATCGCGCAGCATAGAATTGCATACCATAGCCTAGCATAACAAAGCGCAGCCCAGCGTAGCATAGCATAGCGCAGCATAGGCTACGGAGCATTCTCAAGCACACATGGTGAGCGAATGCGAAAACATGCGTGTGTGTGTGTGTCTGTGCGCAGGCAAAGCAAACAACAAAATCAAGCAACATCAACAACAAAAGCAAAGCTACAGCAACAGCAAAAGCAAAAGCAAAAGCGAAGGCAAAGGCAAACTCAAATGCAAGAGCAAACGCAAAGGCAATGCAAAGCAACATCAACACCAATGCGAACGTGTAGATGTAGATGTAGATGTAGGTGTAGATGTAGATGTGGATGTAGGTGTATATGTAAATGTAGACGTAGGTGTAGATGCAGGTGTATATGTAGATGTAGATGTGAGTCTCGCTGTCGATGTAGATGTATATGCAGGTGTAGATGTAAATGTAGCTGTCGGTGTAGATGTAGATGTTGCTTTCCTGAATGCTCCAACTCCTAGGTAGGGTCGCACTGGGATAATTGTCTCTCTATCCGCGGACGCGTGTTATAACGGACCTTGAACTCCCATCCTGATGCCATCGTGTTGCGTTTCTGCACAATCGGACAATTTGGAGCCGCGTGGCCTTCTCCCCCGTCTGTTCTTCTTCCCACCCGCACACGATGTAGCTGAAGAATCGGTTGGCGAGTCGCTCCTCCCGCAAAGCGGAGAGTAACGGCCAGTGTTTCTTTTCGACCACGCGTTCCGGGAGGAGGAGGAGGACGTGGCGAATGAGGAAAGAGGAGGGCGAGGACGAACAGCAGCAGCGGGAAGTTGAGTGGAAGAAACGGGAGGAACAGCAAGGAGCAGGGGAAAGGGGGGAGGAGGAGCCCGGATCCAGAAAAGTTGCCCGCGCTGGGGCGACGGGAGCAGAGCCGCGATCCTAAAATGAGGCCCACCTTGCAGCGGGAACACCGTTTTGGAAGGACCGAGAACGTTCGGATTGGGACCGACCACATATGGCAAATAATTGCGGCCCCAGCCCGGACATATATTCGGGGGAGAGAGGAGAGTATCATTCACATTGAACAGCATCAGACGTGCGGTTTTCGCCGTGTTCGGCCCGGACTTCCGGGGACCCTGCAGTTCAAGAACCGAGGCGTCGGATCTTATGCGTGCGGCCTCCTGCAGGCCCAGATGCGTCATGCGGCGGGTACGGTAGGCTGGTGCCGTGCCGACGCGGCGGCGGCCCCAGCGCGAGCGTTCGAGGTCGAACGCAGCCAGTTGCTCACGATGCCGAGCGATCTGCGGTGCCAGAGAGCCGAGCTCGGCCCAAAAGGCGGAGCGGGCCACGCGGCATCAGCAACCAGCGCTCAGCTCGTCACGACGCGAGCGCACCATGTGGAGGAGAGTCTCGGCCCCCCCCCCCGCCCCTCCCGCCGGTTGGCGCCGCGGCGTCGCCCCCGACGGCGCCGCCCGGAGAGCCGGCCTAGCATCTCCCACTCGGAAGCGCCAGCGGGGCATTGGTCCAGGGTGGGGGGGAGCATGGGCCCCCAACCGCTCATTCGCCGGCGACTGGGGCCTGGGACCCAGGTCTCCCTCATCGCCGATCCGCGCCGCCGATTCCAATTCGAAATTTCCCCCCACGGAGCCAGGCCATCCCCCTATCTCGCAGCCTCTTCCATTCCTCCCTGCGGACCACGCCGCAGGTGGATACCCGCGTCGACGTGCTCCTTCGCGTCCGCGCCCGCGCACGAGGACCCAGGCTCGCGCAGGCGCGCGTCGCTATCCCGCAGGGCAAGGAGATTCGTCCAGAGGGTGGCGTGGGTGATACAAGCGAGCGTTCGGAATGGGGGGTCGATCAATGTGGGGGGGTGAGGGTTCCAGGAAACTGGCCAGACGAAGGGGCACCCTGAGGTCCCGAAGGTGCACGACAGGTGAACCGTTCTTCCCCCCCCCACCCCCATTCGGCAAGGCCTGAACAACCGGCACGCCAAGCCAAGGATCATACACACCTTTGGTGTGGACTTCCCAGCAGAGTCCATTGGGATTCGATCGATCCGGTTCGATACCAGTTTCGTCAGGCCCGATCCGATTCGAATCCGATATTCTGTCGATCCGGTAAAGCCCGATGCCTGCATGGCGTTGTTGTGCATCCTGCTGCAGCCGATTCGATTCGATTGCGTTTCCGTGTCGATCCCGCGTAAATTCCGATTCTATCGGATTCCACGGTGGGGAGATGGCCCAAATGGGCCTCAAGCGAGCTTCAAGAGAGCCTCAGGAGGCCTCCAGATGACCCACTTTGACTCCCAAGGGTCACAGGGGGGGATGTCGTGGGTCTTTTGGGAGCCACATTGGGTTCTCTTGAGCTTTTCCAGGGCGCTCTCCGGCTGTTTGGCGCCTTCGGAAGACGTCTTGGGTGCCTCTGTGGGCCTTCTTGGGGGCCTCATTGGGGCCCATTGGAGTCGTCTTCGGGATCTTTTTGGCAGACGTGGGCTCCTCTTGGGCCGTCTGTGGGCTGCCTTTGGGCTCTCAGAGTTCTCATGCCGTCTTGGGGCGATCTCTGAGGCCTTTAGGGCCGGCTTGGATTGTTGGAATCTCGGGAAGGCGAGACTCTGGAAATCATTTACAAATTATTGAAATCAGTAATCTTGGTTTCTTGATGGAGCCGTCTTGGGCTCCGTTTAGGTTTCCTTTGGAATCATCTCGGAGGCCGTCTTGGTTCATTCACGAGGCTCACGCCATTCCGCTGACCTCAGCAACAGCGAATTGGTCAAGAGTCGTTGCTCCGTGCCTGACCCGAGAGTCAGGATCCTCGGGGATTCATATGAGGGTCTCCCGGAATGCCTCTCGGGGGCCTCTTGGAAGGCTCTTGGGGGCTTCTCGGGGGCCCCTTGGGGCCTGTCAGGTGCTCTTGGGGCCACTGGGGGCTCTTGGCGCCGTCACTGCGGGTGAGACTCGAGAGGTCAGTTCGTATTGCCCCTCTTGGGGCTGGGTCGCGGGTCATTGTTTATTTCCGTTCAACAGAATTTCGAAATGACATAATTCTGGCCAACAAACCTAGAATGACCGCGGGACGGGAGAAGGAAGGATTGCGACGGAATGGAATGGACGGGAGGAGTGGTGGATGGAATGGAACGTGGAATGGAATGGAATGGATGATCGGCGCGCGCGGAGGAGCGAGCTGGTGGGCGGGCCAGCGGGCGGGCGTGCAAACTTGCGGGCGGGCGCATTGTATTTTGTAGCGTTGCCTTGCATTGCATTTGCACTGGACTGCTTGCGCGCCGTCCGGCGCAAGGCTTCCGCTCGCTCGCTCGCATTGCATTGCATCCTGTGTCGTTGCATTGTACTGCAATGTTTTGCATTTGCATCGCATGTGCAGTACATTGCATTGTAGTAGATAGCGGAGGGGGGGGGAGAGAGGAGGGAGAGGGGGAAGGAGGGAGGAGGAGGAGGAGGAGGAGGAGGAGGAGGAGGAGGAGGAGGAGGAGGGGAGGGGGAGGAGGGAGGAGGAGTAGAACCAGCCAACGACCCTGTTGCGATGAGCTTAGTTGCGCTGCGTTGTGGTTGTATTGCAGCTGCAGTACATCGCATTGCAGTACATTGCGGGCGAGGGGGAGGACATAAGGAAAGATAATGTAGGAAGGTGGAGAGTAGGGAAGGATGAGGAGTGCGCAGGGAGGAGGGAGGAGGTGAAGGGGAGAAGGGAGGATGGGAGAGGGAGGAGGGAAGAGGGAGGAGGGAGGAGGAGGGAGGGAGAAGGACGAGGAGGAGGATAGGATCGTATGTTTGTTCGCCTCCCTGGCCCTCGTCATCGTCATCGTCGTGGCATGATGTTTGAGGTCGGCCCCCGCGGCGCTGCCACGCGACGCGTTGCATTTCATTGTGTTGCATGGCATTGCATTGTGCTGCATTGCATTGCATTGCATTGCAATGCATTGCAATGCATTGCGTCCTGTTGCGTTGCATTGCACTGCGTTGCATTTGAATTGCAGTTGCAGTACATTACGTTGCAGTACGGAGCGAGCGAGAGCGAGGAGGACAAGACGGACGAGAAGAGGTGAAGGTAGAGAGGACGGGAGGGAGGAGGGAGGAAGGGGGAGGAAGGAGGGAGGAGGGAGCATGGAATAGGGAGAAGGGAGGGGGACGAAGAAGGACGAGGATACTAACATATAATGGTTGTTCGTCTCCCTGGCCCTCGGTGTCGTCGTCGTCATTGTCGTCGTCGTTCTCGTCGTCGTCCTCGCGGGCGTCGTGTCATATGTGTTGTGTTTGGCACCCGCGGCGCTGCTACGTGACGACTAGAAAGGCATACTGTTTCTTTTGCGCCTCCAGGCGTTGCCATGTGTCGATCTGTGTGGCATGGTTTGTTTGTGTCGGCCCCCGCAACGTTGCCACGTGACGAATCTCTGAGCGTGAATTGCCTACCCCGCTTTCGCTTCCAGGCAAAACCAAGTCATACCACGCGCCTCCTCGTCAAGCGGCCTGACCAGTACAGGCCGTAGTTTGGCATCGTTTGGTATCTCTTGGAAGCGAGGGTGGTCAAAAGCGAGGTAGGTTTGTTTGCCCCTAGAATCGAGTGGAATAGCTGTTACCAACCGTCCTGTGGTGTTGGGTCTTCGTCTTGAGGAGACAGCGCCCCGCGTCTCACTCCTTCCTCCCGCTGCCCCCTCCCCCTATCTTCCGCCTCCTCTCCTCCCCCACTTTGGCACACCCCTCACACGCTTCGTGGTCCCATAGGGAGCCCCACCAAAGGCCCAGATGCCAGCGCTCGCATGCGCCCACCGCACCCATTTTGGCACGCGCGTCACAGGTCTTGTGGCCCCATAGGGAGCCCCACCGAAGGCCCACCGCGCTCATTTTGGCAAATCCCTCACACGTTTCGTGGCCTCATAGGGAGCCCCGCCGAAGGCCCAGATGCCAGCGCTCGCATGTTCCCACCGCGCCCATTTTGGCACGCCCGTCACAGTTGTTGTGGCCCCAAAGGGAGCCCCACCGAAGGCCTGCATGCCAGCGCTCGCATGCGCCCACCGCGCCCATTTTGGCACACCTCTCACTCGTGTTGTGGCGCCATAGGGAGCTCCACCGAATGCACACGTGCCAGCGCTCGCATGCGCGCCCACCGCTCCCATGTTGGGATACCCCTCACACGTTTCGTCGCTCCATGGGGAACTCCACCGAAGGCCTAAATGCCATCGCTCGCATTCGCCCACTGCACCCATTTTGGCACACCCCTTCACTCGCTTCGTGGCCCCAACGGGGAGCCCACCGAATGCGGCGCATACAACGGCAGTATCCACAGCTGCATATGGCTGGGTCTTTCGCCAGGCACATGTTTGGGTTCCGGCCCCGGCGGCGCTGCCACGCGACGAGTGGACGGTGAACGGTGAACGGTGCCCGCACGGTTGTCCACGCTGCCACGCTGCCACGCGACGAGTAGAGTGCACTGGTATTTTGTCGTCCGCCCAAGCGTTACCACGTGGCTGCTACCCAACCAACCAACCAAAATAACCGACCGACCAGCCAGCCACCAGCCAACCAACCGACCAACCAGCGATCCTATTGCATTGAATGTCATTGCGCTGTGTTGTATTGAAATTGCAGTTGCAGTCCATTGCATTGCAGTACATTGCAGGCCAGGGGGAGGACAGAAGGGAGGAGAACGGAGGAAGGTAGAGAGGAGGGGAGGAAGGATGAGGAGGAGTGAGGAGGGAGGAGGGGTGAGGAGGAGAGGGGGAGGAGGGAGGAAGGGCGAGGAAGGAGAGGAAGAAAGGCGAAGGGAGGATGGATGAGGGAGGAGGAAAGGGGGGAGAGAAAAACGAGGAGGATGGGTTGATCGAACGTTTGTTCGATTCCCTGGCCCTCGTCATCGTCGTCGTCATCATCGTTATTGTCCTCCTCGTCGTCCTCGTGGCATCATGTTTTTGTTCGGCCCCCGCGGCGCTGGCCCGTGACGACTAGAATGGAGTGCAATTTCTTTGCGCTTGCAGGCTTTGCCACGTGGCGAGTGGAGTTGCGTACCATGATTTTCGGCCCTGGCGGCGTTGCCCCATGACGAATAAAGTGGAATAGCCTGTTTTGCCCCCACGGCGCTGCCACGTGACAAGTAGAGTGGATGAAATACTGTTTCTTCGCGCCTCCAGTGGTTACCACGTGACAAGTGGAGCGGCATAGTACTTTTTGTCGGCCCCATCGGCGCTGCCGCGTTACGAATGTAGTGGGATCGTATTTCTGTCGCCCCCCAGGCGATGCCACGTGGCGAATCCAGTCGCATAGTTTCTTTTCTGCTCAGCCCCCGCGACGCTGCCACGTGATGAGTATAGTGCATCCTGCTGCATTGCTTTGCATTGGCATTGCGCGTTATGGCATCGAATTGCACTGCGTTGCATTGCATCCTGTTGCGTCGCATTGCATTGCACTGCGTTGCATTTGCATTGCAGTTGCAATACATTTGCGTTGCGGAGGGGGAGGGGGAGAAGGAGGAGGACGACACGGAGGGAGCAGAAGGGAGGAAAGTACAGAAAAGAGGGGGGAAGGAGGAAGAGTGAGGAGGGAGGAATGGGGGAGGAGGGAGGGGAAGTAGAGAGGAGAATCGGCCAACCACCCGGGCAAGCGAGCATCCGACCACCCAGCCACCCAACCAACTCACCAACCGACCAACCACCAGCCAACCAACCGGACGACCAACGAACCAATTGCCCAACCAACCAGCTAGCCAGCCAACCAGTTAACCACCCCAGGACAAAAGTTCTTGAGCCAGAATCCAGCAAGCCAACCAGCCAATGTCCCACATGGCGGGTCCCCGACAGATGTTGTTTGACTTGGTTTTTTGTGTGACAAATATTACCTGGTAATCGGCGAGCCAATCATCTTACCGACCCACCAACCAACCAGTCCTTCAATGGGAATTGTTTGAGGATGTCCCATTCGACGGGTCCCAGAACGATTATTTTAGACTTGGGCTTTTACAGGTCACAGATGGCCCTGACAGAAACAATTGGTGACCCTTCTCCCCTGGGGTCATCCTGGGCCGTTTTTCGGGAGCCCTGGGGCCGTCTTAGGGCCCTCTTGGGGCTCTATTCGGCCGCCTTGGAGCCCTATAGGGGCCTCATGGACAGTCTTGGGACGATTTTGGGGCTGCTTGGGTCGTGTTGGACGCTGTTAAGGTAAGAATGGCGCGTATGCCGAACATGCGAATTTTCCTAGGGGCAATGGGCGAGGTTTGCCTCTTGGGGCCCTCTCTGCGGCCTTATGAGAGCACTCTTGAGCCGCCTTGGGGACCTCGCAGGTCGTGGGGTTACCCTGGGCCGCCTCGACGCTCTTTCGTATTGTCTCTGATTGGGCCGTCTTTGGGCTCTTTGGAGGCCCCAGAGAGCCCCCCAGGTTGCGTTGGGGAGTTCGGCCACACCTCCCCTTTAATGTGATGTTTGGCCACACGGAACGCGGAAAGGGGGAGGGGGACGGGGGGGACAGCCAATCATCTCACACGCCTTCTCGCCACAGGCACGTGGGAGTCGGCAGATCTTGGCAGTCGGTCGGGCGGACGGAATGATCCGTTGGGAGATCACACCAGGAGGTATCGAGGACGCTTACGGCGAATCACCGCCGCTCCCTACGTTTTAGGAAACGCCTATGTGGCCAAACGTTCGGGCAAAGTGAGGTCACGCTATTGGACCATGCGTTCCCCCAGTCGTTGTGGCAGCCCTTCTGGGAAAACGTGGGGGGCGAAGAGGAGGATGGTGAGAGGGAGGACACATGATAATGAGGAGTAGGATGAGGTGAGATTTCTTGGGAGCGTAGTGGGTCATTATTCGGCCTCCTGGGAATTTCCTGTGGGCCTATTGCAGGCCTCTTGGGGCCTTCCTTGGGCCTCTTCGGGGCCTCTCGGGGTTTCTCGGCTATCTTGCGGCTTTCCGTCTCGGGCCATTTGAGGGCCATCTTGGACCGTCGTGGTGGGCTCCTGGCCCGTCTGACGCCGTCGGAAGCCTTCTTGGGAGCCTCTCTGAGCAGTTTTCGGTCCCTCTTGGGGCGCTCAGGGCAGTTTTGAAGGCCATCTTGGGCGTCATCTAGGCCTATTGGGCCGTCTTGGGGCCCTCTTGTGGCCGACTTAGTGGCATCTTGGGCCAGCATTTGGTAATATTGGAGGCCTCTTACGCGATCTTGAGCATCTGAATGCAATCATGGAGCTTGACCCCTTGGGGCCTTCGTGGAGGACCTCTTGGAGGCTTCTTGGGCCGTCTTCGGGGCCTCTTGGGAGCTTCTTGGGCCGTCCGCCATCTTAGGCCGTCTTGGAGACAGCTGGCGGCCATTTGGGGATCCCTTGGGACGCTCAAGAGTCGTCTTGGAGGCCATCTTAGGCGTCTTGGAGGCCTATGGCGCCGTCTTGGAGCCCTCTTGGGCCCTCTTTGGGGCCTCTTGGGCCGTCTTGGGGCCATCGTGGAGGCCTCTTAGGCGATCTTGGGAGCCGTCTGGGGCCGTCGGAAGGCCGTTTTGAAGCACATGCCAAAAGACTGAAGGAACAATACTGATTTTGGCCTCCTCGGGCTTGCCCGAAGGACCTGGACGCTTCTTGGGCCGTCTAAGGCGCCTCCTGGGCGCTTCTTGGGCCGTCTAAGGGGCCTCTTGGACCATCGTGGCGGTCTTGGAGGCGTCTTGGGGCCGTCTTGGAGACCATCTTGGAGCTATCTTGGGCTCTATCGGGACCAGCTTGGCCGTCTCGCAGGCATCTAGGAGGCCGTCTAAGGCCATCTTTGCCGTCTTGGAGACCACCAGTGCCGTCTTGGATAGATGTGTTGGACATCAACGCGTTCTTCGGGTGGCCGGCAGGGTGGGCCCAGACTGCGCTGGGAATCTCAAAGGAGATCAACCAACAGTTCAGTACGCCGTGCACCCCTGTGGCAAGCGAACAGCGGGCGGCGGACCGAAGACGCCTACGGCAAATCACCGCCGCCCCCTGCCTTCTAGAATCGCCCATGTGGCCGAGCGTTGTGGCAAGAGCTTCGCCAAGATATCGGGCTATCGGACCACGTGTTCCCCCAACCGTTGTGGAAACCCTTCGGGGAACAGTTGGGGAAGGATGGTAGGAATACCAGGAGGAGGAGGAGGAGGAGGAGGAGGAGGAGGAGGTGGAGGCCGACGTTCCCCCAGCCGTTGTGGCAGCCCTTCGGGGAAAACGTGGGGGCGAAAAGGAGGATGAGGAGAGGGAGGACACGTGATAATGAGGAGTAGGATGAGGTGAGACTTTATTGGGCCTCCTGCTTGGAAGGCGTCTTGGGGGCCTCTCTGTGCCGACTTGGGGTAGGCCATCCTGGAGGCCTCTTGGGCGATCTTGGGGCGATACTCGGGGGCTCTTGAGTCGTCTCGGGCCGTCGATAGGCCGAAAAACAGCAAATGCCAGAATCATTCAAACACATAGGGAAACTCAATGATTTTGGCCTCGTCGGGCCTCCTGGGGGCCCTCTTGAAGGCCTCTTGGGCCGTCTTGGGCCATCTTAGGGCCATCTTGGACCGTCGTGGTAGGCTCCCGGCCCTTCTGACGCTGTCGGAAGCCGTTACTGGGGCCTCTCTGGGCCAATTTGAGGCCTCTTGGAATGTTCCAGGGCTGTCTTGCAGGCCATCTTGGGCGTCTTGGAGGCTTCTTGGGCAGTCTTTGGGCCCTCTTTGGGGCCTCTTGGGCCGTTCTGGGGCCATCTTGGAGGCCTCTTGGACGATCTTGGGGCGATCTTTTGGGGCTCTTGGACTGTCTCGGGCAGTCGGAACGGTGAAAAGAAGCAGATGCTCGAATCCTTCAAAACACATCAGAAAAATCAATGCGTTGGAACTCTTCGGGCCTTCCTGGGGGGCCCTTTCGGAGGCCTTTTGTGCCGTCTTAGGGCCATCGTGGGCCGTCGGGAGGTAGAAAACGAACACATACGCACGACAATCCTTCAAAAACCTATGGGAAATCAACGATTTGAGCCTCTTGTGCCTGGCGGATGTGCTCGGAGCCCAGGAGATCCCAGGATCCGTCGCAGGAGCTCGATGAAGCGAAGGTGCAATTTGACTCGGGCCCGAGTCTGGGTCGCACGAATTGACACGCCGCAAAGGCGCAGATGCACTACGCTCAGAGCGGCTGCGACGCAGAGTTCTTTGCAAATATTGCAAGTGCGGACAGCAGTGACATGGGACGTCAGTTAGATAAGGTGCAGGTGACAGGAAGGGCAGGGATGAGTGTACGGGTTGTACGGGCAGGCGGTTGTACGTGCAAGTGGTTGTAGGGCGACGGTGCATACGATTGATTTTTGTGGTAAGGTTGATGGTGCTCGCCGCAGCAACACAGGGAAAGTTCACATATCTGTGACACTTCAGGAGGCACGAAGTCTTTGACTCTCCACTGTCAGGAACACGCGCATAAGGAAGATGATGATGAGGAAGAGGAGGACTTGGAGGAGAAGTGGGGGCATGCCTCGACTTGTCTGCCTTGCTGGGGCATGTTGAAACTGGGAGTGGGGGGAGGCTTGGATTCCTGCCGGCCAGAGGGTGTCCGGGCCTCATGGGGAGGAGTTTGGAGATGCAGGCCCTTCTCTGCTCTCCCTTCCCCCCACCCTCACTCTACTCCCCCATCTGTCCCTCGCTCTCCCTCCCTCTCCCTCGCCTCGTTCAAAGCAGGCGGTGCATCAACTTGACCGAGCTGGCAGTAGCACGAAGAGATCGTTCGGAGGGCGTATCCTCAGGCTGCCTTCAGTCTGGAGTTGTGAGGTTTGCCTCGCGGGCGTCTCTTGATGATGGGCACAGCGCGCGAGCTCCTTTTCTCTGTGGCCGCCATGGCGAGGCCGACAACCTCCAGCTAACACTTACGGGCACTTGCTGGCCGCGCTCGCCGCGATTGG